CAACAAAAGGAATTTAAAAGGAAGTTTTACATCCACCGCTCAGATTCTGTTGCACTGTCCTCACACATCAGGATGATTCAGCATTGATGCGGCGAAGATGATCATACGAGTGAAAGAGGGGCCCCTGGCAGCAGGTTCGTGTCAGAGCTTTCCGCAGAATGTCAGCCAACATGACAGTTTGACTGCACGCGTCCAAGGAGGGGTCAAGGCTGACCAGTCAGCTTTCAACTGAATAATGTGCTCCGGATTGAGTGACAGCTATAATCATATGTTTTTTAAAGAAAGGGATACACTGGAAAATAATATCACCATTATGTATTTATGAAATGTTCATTTCTATTAACAATCATTGCTAGAACAAATCATTATATTTCTAAAGGAAATAAAAAAAATGCATGGAGATAGTCTTAACTGAAAGGATTATGAAACACTCTCACTCCTGCTTATCTTCTCAATGAATGCAGTACAGTGTCACAAATGCCTTTACATCCTTGTTACATAGTGTGAATTACAAATAGAAAGACCAAAGAAATGATATGACTTTCCTCTCACAGGGTCTAATACATTAATCCTCTGTCTCTTTCTCACTTATTATAGATGCCTCTCATTATAGAGTTCCCATAAACTAATAGTCAATCCAAAATTTTTCATAATTATGGGTAGACAATACCTTCACCATTTTCACAGTCATGTTAGGACATTTTAGTGTATTGAATACAGTAAATATTTATTAAAACTAACACATGAACATATGAATAAAATATATTTATGTACAAAGTGGCACATTATGATTTTTACCTAATATTTAATAATACACTTGCAAATTTTCCCTGCATTAACATAGTCATAGTAGAAAACAATAAATACAAGCAGTAGGTAATAGAAGAACACCAAGAAAGTGGGAAAGGCATCATAGATAAAAACTGTCAGTTCTGGAAACTTTAAACTTGAGGGAAGGTCATATCCTCGGGGAGCCCACATGCCTGGGTTGCCTGGTTAACTGCTTATAAATGCCTTTCCTAAAGTGGGTTCTCCTGAGAATGTTCCTAAACAATGTAAAAATGTGCTCTCTCCTGTCTCAATGGATAGGGGAAACCCAGGAATTTTTGTTCTATCAGATTATTGCATGTCATCTGGACATCATTTTTTTGGGGGGACAGGTGACTGATGTAGATTGGCAAGCAGGATTGGAAGTCAGGATTAATTCCACAGGTCTTTCTCTCTTTCTCCTCCTGGAGCACAGAAGCTGAAGATTAAGCCTGTAGAAAAAAAAGTTCAGATTCTAAGCAAGTGAGTAAGTAGAGATGTTGGATTTGGGGGTGAATATGTAAGTGACTAGAATAATTATTTTTCACCCAGTACAGTCACTTGAAATTGAACATGTCTGAAAGGAAAACAACTATACTGCCTCTGAAACCTGCTCCCTCTCCCTTCATAATTCCCATCTTTGCTATTACCTTCATGATCCATCCAGTCACTCATGCCAGTAGTTTGGATGTCATATGTAGTCCTAATCTTCATTCCTCACTTCTCACATTCAATCAATCACAGAATTGGATTGCCTGACATTTCTCTCTTCCATTTTGCTTCTTCACCCCCATCTCTGTGTCACTGCAGATGTGGTAAAGCCCTGTCCTTTTCTGAGAATACTGCAACAGTTTTCTGACTTCTCTGCTTACAGTCTCATTCCTTTACAATTCATCTTTTACAGTAAACATCAGCGATGTGTCTCAAGCACAAATCTAATCATATTCTTCTTCTAATTAAAGCTATTAACTGTACATTGTCACTAAAGGGACATAATTCAAGGTCTGTTGCTTGGGGTGACAACATAATTAAGAAATGTATTGGCAACGTTCATTCTTCTCCTAATAGTAGAGAGAAGAATGACTAAGCAACTCTCTGCATCTCCTTCATAGGAAGGAGGGCCAGGACTTTGGTTGATTATGTTGGGGCAGAAACAACTTTCTCTGTTGGTCTAAAAAGGAACAGGAGATGGGAAATGGGCAGTGGCCCAACCTGGCAGGGGCTAGGTGTTTGCTGTGTGGGAGTGCTGTGGTTTGCTAGAGTCTGGAAGGAGGATGATATGGTAGCAGTGGAGCAGGCATGGTGCTGGGGTGGAGACTGTACCCTATTCTTATAGCATAGTTGGCAAAGGCAGGGTCTTTGATAGAGTTGGTTGCACTCTTGCCTTGTGTAGGGGAAAAGGTGGCCACTGGCTTCCATGAGCAGAGAGTGGCCATAGGAGCTATGTCAAGCCTTAGATTGGGGGGAGGACTGTAGAACAGGGTATTTTTGATGTTCTCCCAGAATATCTGCAGCTAACAGAGGGTTCAGTGTTAAAATCTCTCTAAGTTCCAGTGTATGTGTCATCTTTATGAGTAATAATATTACTACTACAGGACTTGATAAGCACCGAATCTCTCACAACCTTAAAACTTCATAAATGTGTAATTCTTACAAAGAATAAATTATTGCTTTTATAATAAAGTATCATGATAGGTTATTTAAGCATATTAACACTTAGAGACAAAGAAGCACAATGATCTTAGGAGAAATGATTGTTTGATCCTGGTTTTTGGAACCCAATGCAATTATTAATATAATTTATACTTTCAAATGCAAGATGTAAAATGATTTTTCACCACTATGATTTTTTAAAATTACAAAAAAGTTCAAGTACATTCAAGGTTATATATTTTGGTCTTGTTTCACATTTTTGATTAGTAGTAGTATAGAAAGCCTCTATACAATTTTATGTTATCATTTCTATTCCTTCCTGCATAAATTATCTGTTCACGGTCTTTGCTTTACTTTCCTATTTCCCAATATGTATATAACATCTTTGTATGTTTAGAATATTAATGAACTGGTGTCATATTTACACATTTCCTCTATTTGTTTTCTTATAATTTTCTTTATATTTGGAAGTTTTAAGTCATATTATAGCAGATTTTCTATATTTTATACTGAATTTTCTTACATAGTTTTATGTTTTGAAAGTTCGTACTCAAGCAGTCACTTAAAGCATACCTAATTTTTCCTCTATTGTCTCCTTCTTCTGTTGTTCCTTTAGTTCTTTATACATTTTCTCCGTGGGATATTACTAGCTACTATCTCCATCACCACACTGATTATTGACCACCTCATTCAGACCATTTGTTGGCAAGCTTCTTTGCTACTTCTTGTCATAAGAGAATTAATCTCAGAAGAAGAAAACAGAGCACATTTGCATTTCAAACACAAATGTGTATAGAAATGCATAGAGCTAACATATGTCTAATCCTTTACTTCAGTGGCCTTCAAAACTTAACCTAAGTTATTTTTGTATTAACAGCACTTTTGACAGTGGTCCCAGTTATTGTTTAATGGAACTTGGCTCCTCTATAGGTGAACTTCCAAGTAAAGTCAAGTGTTTGCAGCATAGATCAGCGAGGTGAATATCTGGATTTATGTGAGTGAGATAGTGCTTGTGATTAATGTTGCATGGATCATTTTTTTTTCTCAAAGAACTACAACCAATATAGGAACAGAGGAGTTTTTTTTTTTTTTTTTTATTACAGCATCTATAACAGCAGCATACTAGTGGCTGGCAGGTGACATAGATAGCACACACAACAATGATATTCTTCTCTCCTGGACTCTACCCAGAGTGACTGTCATTTTGGTCAGGCCAATTATGGGCATATACATTTATTTTGTTCTTAAAAAATTAGTTTCCAAAGGGCAAATTCTTTTGCAGGTTCTAAAAAGCACTGAACACTAATTGTGAGAGCACTTAATCAATGCTTCTTATGAAAATTAAATGAGGCAGACAAAAATCTGAGCCAATTTTAGGGAAGCAATGACAATCCCATGCTAAGCTGGCACAGTTAATTCCAGTAGGCCAAAGATTGGCCTGCGCTCTTTTAATGAAATAAAAAATGTACCTGCTTTGCACTGATTCCTGGTCAATGCATGGAGCACACAGAATAGCAGTGTTGCTTGTAAACATAATTTGAAAGGTTTCAATTGCTTATTGATGAACTATTATTGCAGTGAAGTTGATCGTCTGCATATGGTAGTCATTAAAATATCTGGAGGGCTCTGTCATTCAGCTAGTTATATACAAGAAATTGTTTATAGTGTTCCCAAACTTTTGACATATGTGTACCCCTTCTATAATTTTTGTAATGCTGAGTACCCTTCGTACTCATGAGAACGTAGAATTAGGTGCAGCTAAGCATGGTGCAGTGCATATCCCCACCAAACTCTGGTGCAACGTGTACCCCCACCAAACTCTTCCCATACCCCTGGGGGTATGCGTACCACACTTTGGGAAACACTGGTCTACATGATTGGCTTGGCATAAAAAACTCCAGGTGAAACTACGTTTTGGGTCACTTTGTTTAAAGTGCTCTGCTCACATATCCATGGTTCCTGGACCCAGAGAAGAAGGACATCCTGTAGTCCTTATACAGGGAGGACAATCAGACCTTCAAGCTGGCTTCTCTGGATTCCATGCACTATGCCAGCTTTTGGATGTGATGCACATCCCACCTTAATGCTGTTGCTGTATCATAACATTTCCTGCAATAAACTACAAATCTGTAAGCATTCTCATTTTGAGTCCTGCGAGTCTGGAATAGAAATAGGACCCTGTCTAAGTGCACTGTCAGTGTGTGTATAGTGACCCAGATAAAGGCAAACTGCAATTAGAAGGAAACATCCCCAATAGGCAGGAACCGTGCCATTCTGAGGTAGGCAGGGCAACTGGAAGAATTTTTTACAGCCCACAAGCCATTCACTGCTCTGGCAAATCATTTTAGAGTTTGTTTTTAGACAAGTGGACAATGATGGTTTCACTGGCACAAACCATTAACCTTTCCTCTAATAAAAGTCTTTGAAAGTAATCTAAGCTGCAACAGGCTAACAAAGCAGATATTAATGAGTATCTCAGTGAATGAAATTAGGAAACTTACATATTTACTGCCCAGGTGTGGGCAGGATACATCAAGCTGTCAGTTTTTGTTTTTTCCTTGTGCAGAGCGCTCACCTAGGAACAGAAGATACACTTTGAACCTTAAGCTCAGGGAGTGAATGAGGATGAAAATAAAGTTTCTTAGCTTGTTTTTTGTTTTTCAAGAGAAGTCCAACTTCCCTGCAAGAATCACATTAAGGCCACAATTTGCCTCTCGGTATGGCCTTTTTACAAAGACTTATGAGCTCTTTTAGGCCATTATCTGTTCCACCCTAAAGGAGCAATGAATGCTAACTCACTCCCTGGGAGTGAGATGTGTGTGTGAATGGGAGGCGATAGTAAGAGAGGCATCTTAGGGAATGAGTTATTGATTATTGCTTGCTCCATGAGCTGGCCCTGCCTCAGTAAACCTATGTCATATATTTAAAGTGCCATTTTATGAGGAACACATTCTCCTCTGTTTAATTCAGGGAGAGTTCTGTGAAATTGAATTTATAGGTCAACGAACACTTTGTTGACACACAGAATAGCAGAGGGGACATCACTCAAGTTAACAGTGTTATTCCATTATCAAATATAAGGATAAATATTAACCTAGGAAGCTGAGAGACATGCCCCTGGATTCATGATCAACACATTTCATATTACCTGCGTCTTTCAGACAGGCTCAAGTATCAACACCTGTCACACTATATAAAATCAACGTGGATTATAGTCTCCAGCTTTGAGAACAACTGTCATTATTTTACTCCAGGTTTTATCTATTAGTTATAAAAGCTGTCTTTTGAGAACATCGTTGATGTCATCTGTTACCTGCATAGTCATGGAGATAATAAATAGTGCCAGAAGCCTATGAGGAGAACAAACCCAGTTTGTTCTTGATATTTCCTTGCAAGAGTGCCTTAGGTCCCATGCTCTGAGAAGTGCCAAGTCCATGACCCTAATGGCCTCTATCCTAGGACAACCCATGCTCACTAGAGGCACAGCACCTCCTGGAATTGATAAGTATGAAGTACAGGAATGAGAAATAAATAAAATAAAAGCTCATGAACCCCTACTGTCTTCCAGAAATGTAAAGCAAACCTTATGAAAATCATTACAATCCTTAATATCCACTTACAGGTCTCTGTAATTGGGAAGAGAGAATGTGAGAAAGGTTCAATAACCATCTGATTCCAATCTATACTAATAAAACGGTAATATGCTAATTAGACCGGAGGCCTTCTGGGACATCCTTCCAGACAAAGCCATGGTGGCAGGGCCAAGGCAGAGGCGATTAAGGGCGATCAGGGGCGATCAGGCCAGGAGGAGAGGGCAGTTGGGGGTGATTAGGTCAGTAGGGGGTGGCAATTGGGGGCCAGCAGGCTAGCAGAGGGGGCCAGTTAGAGGGGGAGCAAACCAGTGAGACTGGCAGTTGGGGGTGAGCAGGCTGGCAGGGGGGAAGTTTGGGGTGAGCAAGCAGGCAGGTGAGCAGTTAGGAACCAGCAGTCCTGGAATGCAAGAGAGATGTCCATCTGACAGTTTAGGCCTGATCCATGTGGATCAGCAATCAGACATCCCCTGTGGGGTCCCAGATTGGAGATGGTGCAGGCCAGGGTGAGGGACATCCCTCCACCCTGTGCATGAATTTTGTTGTGCCCAAGTGTCATAAACCCCTAAGACTAGCAGGGAGCCGAATCTGATGCAATTGCAGAAAGCCTGTATTTATTTCAGACTAGTCAAAGCTCGGTCCCACTTACACAGGCGAAGGCATGGCAAGAGAGAGAAAGAATTTAATATATCAATGGGTTTTATAGGGGGGAGGTGGTGCCACTACCTTGGCTGACCTGATTGGTTGGGTTAAGGCTAGGGTCCAGTTACCGGGAGCTGGCCCTGCCCCACCTTGCCCTCTCACCCTGCTCTGCCCTCTCAATTTCATGCACTGGGCCATTAGTACAGTTATAATAATGATGTGTATGGCAAAAACAAATGAAACACATGTACCTAGAGAAAAGAATATTTGGTGAATGCATGCAGAGAATGAGCCAAATATTGAAGGGCTGGGAAGACATAGCTGAATCTATCTAAGCTTCATAAATCATTGTTTTTGTTACTGTTGCTTATTTCTTGTTGTTAGTGAACTTTTAATTTGAAAAAAAAAGCAAATAAAAGTAACTGTGCATTTACTATAATATACTGATAATGTGTACTGACCATATTTAGGAAGGGGCAAGGGATAGGAGAGACAAAGGAGACAAAGTTATCATCTCCTTCAAAAGAGCATGAGTGCACTGAGGAACAGAGGGATAGGGGATGAACGACATCTGGGGCATGGGCCATATTAAGTGGTTCAAACCAAGCAGGAGAAGTCTGGCACAGCATGCAGGCCTGGCGCACATGCTCAAGTGTTTGAGCTTAATCTCAGCTAATACACACTTATTAGAGTTTTTAAGCAGAACAATATTTTAATGAATTCAGATCTCATTTTTTTTTCTTTCTCCAAATGGTTCACAATCAAGCAATGCTTTGAAACTAAATTCAAAGGTATTGCATTTTCTTTTTTTTTCTGTGCAGTCTTATATTCTTTAACTAATTAAGCAGTTTTCTTCATAATTCTGATTGCCTTTAATTTAAAAAATGAGATAATATGTATAAGTTGCTGAGATGTGATGTCAGTGGGAATCACATTTAACATGCATCATGTCATATGTATATTTTGTAGTTATTGTGGGATGTTTAAATTGGCTACATTCCTTACTGAAGCTGTATGGTATCTTTTAGGTATTCATAAAAGACCCCTTGATCTGCCATGTTTGGTGTTTAATTTTTGCTGAAGGCACATTCTTGTTATATTCTACTAGGCTTTCTCTTTTACTTAAAAACAAAACAAAACCATAATTTAAATAATCAAATTGTAAACATTTTTGGGCTACATTTTCAGCAGAAGAACACTGTTTGCGAAAGAACATATTCAAAGGAAGCAGGGAATGGGGCTAGATGAATACCATCTTCTAATCAGAGGAGGTTTGGGGGCAAGGATCTGTGTTATTAGCACACAATGACCAGAGCAATTACCAAGGCTCACTGAGGCTTCTAGAAACCTAGACAATTTAGCACCCATTGGCATTTCCTGTAAAGGTTGGTGGCTACAAAGCTCTGTTTCCCTGGAAACATGACTTATTGACCGCTAAAATGAGGGTCAGAGTTTATCCATTAAAATACTGATCAAGCCAATAAACTCATGGTCATGGAAGCTCAAATTTCATTCTGTTACCACTTAGGCACATTAATTCTTTCATAATAGCAAATAACATAAAATGTGTCACTCATCAATTCTGAGTGCTGGGTAGTCAGGTATTTGTTCTATCATATTGCTTTCTACATTTTAAAAATTTCTTTAAATGTTTATATAGAAGATAGGGAGAAATTGGGCTAAATCTGTGAACTTATATCAAACCTAACCATTTCAGATTTTATTTTAGTTATATTTTAGGAAAGATGTCATTGTTGGGCAAAGGATATTTAGGTAAAAACAATTATAATAATTAAACTTCTGTTAACTATCGTGAGCCTAATTTTATAAAGAAATCCTATTTGAATAAGTTTGAAAATTAGGGGAGAGATATTTATTTGTGTCTCAGGAACCAGACTTTAGTAAGAATTGTGGTGGCACAAAAAACATTTGCAGATCGTTATGTTTCAGATTAATTCTAGGCTGTTGAAACCTTTGAATTGCCAAATCAATCTTGTTATCTGATCAAATATTTCCACAGTAATCAGTTGGGTTGCCCATTGAAAGGTTTTGTTATTAAATGAGATGTGAGTCCTAAATTGAAGTTGGCAGAAATACCAGAAAAGTATCAGAGGACAAATCTGATTATTTCCATGATGATAATGCTTCCTTATGGAGAGTTAAGAGTCTTAATTATCATACCATAGTTTATTCTATTTATTACTTTGATTACTACGAGAAAGGGAGATGTCAGCCGATGTGGAATTTTCCTTGGTCCTTCAAGAAGAGTCAGATATGAAATCTGCCATCAAGAAACAAAGGTTCTTTAGAGTCTTTCCCTCTGGAAGCCGCAATTTTGGTGTGCATTGTCATTTCCCTGGTTGACAAGGATGGTAGAGTGGGCAGTCCTAATCCCAGCCCCTCCTCACCAGGAAAGCCAGGGGTTCCTACACAGAGGCTTCTTCCATGTGCTGGGTAGCCAGCCTGAGCCCAGCTTGATGAGCCCGGGTTCCAGGTTAGGTTAAATTCCCAATGGGCATGATGTTATTGTGATGCTTGTTTAAAAGCCACAGGCAGATTCTGAGAACTGTTCTTGACAAATGGTATAGTCACGCTCAGGATCCTTCATAAACTTCTTCAGGACTAGTTCATATTTAGGCTCCTTTTCTTTGACCTAGTGGAATAGGCTAGGCTACTTCGTGGCCAGGGAATCTGTGATTGGTTTCCAATCACCCTATGAAAGAATTTTACTCCTCTGCTCATTTAGATGGTTACCTCGAAGAGAACCAGGTAGGAATAAAGGAACCAGCTACATCATGAATGAAGGTCTCTCTTAAGAGACTGGCTCATACAAAGGGCTTGGATCTGTCTACAGATGTTGGATTCCCTTACTTCTCAAGTCTTCTGTTTGCTTCTTATAGTTTGCTCTAGTTAGAATTTCCTACCTGCAATTGGGACCACATTCAGCCTTTGATATCTTGCTCTTGAAGTGAGATAATATTTATAGCTGTCTTATTAAAAGAATTGCTAATAGTAGTTTATTATTCTGTAGTTTATCATTCTGTAGCTCACACTTTAAATAACATCAGCATTCTCAAATTATTTTGCATAGGTAAAATTGGGAGAACTGAATGGTTAAATGTATTAATGTAACTTGATAGTTAAGTTAGAGCCACATGGGCCATTTTATAAAGCTAATAATTATTTTTTATTTATCTGTTTTGTGATATTGGTGTTTTAAATATGTGGTCTACTCAAAACAAGAAAACAATCAGTGCTTTTTAATTTTAAAAACTATGTGGCATCTAATTTATCATTTCTCTTGATACACAATAACTCATACAAATCATATACACATATATATTGGAAAAAACAATTAAATTTCAAATCAAGCAAAATCAAAACCTAAGAAACTGGAAAAAGAAATGTAAATTTTATCAACAGGAAATTGTGTTTTTTTCCTCATGGGGAAACTCAATTAAAATCATGTGAAGTTATAAAATATGATTTACACTTTGACAAATCCTGGATCCAGGGGAGTATACACAGCAATTAACAAAAATGAAACAAGATAACACCAATTATAAAAACCCTATATAGTACACATAATGTTCTTTCTACCATTACTGCAGAATGGAAAATGACTCTAGTTACCTCCCATTCTTTAGAACACATCTACACATTATTAAAATCAACTTCTAAAAGCCAGATAATCCAAAAAATTTTACCCAAAAATTATATTTATAGGGCTTGTCTTTCCTTTAAAGAAAAATTTGATATTTATTGGGAATTGCTAATTGACCATTTCTAAAGAAGCTATGCTTTCCAGTTATGTTTCAACATGAACAAAATCCAAGTAGAACTTTGAAATAACCCTTTTTAATCTAATCCACAATTAGGGAGCTTACCCGACTCATGAGAAATTGTCTTCACAGTGAGGAGCTTCACACTCTCTTTATCGGACTGAGGTCTATTTGAAACAGAAAACATTCAATTAATACCATAGTAATTAGTATGGCATGTCTGGGATAGAAAGTAAACATTACATACACAGAATGAAGATACACACACACACACACACACTATATATATATATATATATATATATATATATATATATATATATATATATATATATATATGTTTTTAAGGCAAAACCTGTGTCTCTTCACATGCAGACACACACAAAGCACTTTCCACTTCTGGAATTAAGCCAATAAATCTCTATCATTCTGCTACAGCTATGGTTCTCAGATAGTTTAAACATCAAGATGGGTCATGGGAAACACTTGTCACAGGTCTATATGGTACATGGCTTCAGTCTTGATTTATGAAGGGAAAGATACAGACATATTTCCAAACTTTGGGGGCTGCTGATGAATTCTAGGAGTATCCTTTTTTTATGAGGTCCTGAACACTGCAGTTTATTTTAACCGAGTTCCCGCCTCCTCTTTCTCAGATGCTAAACACTTTCAAACCCTCTTTCCCCCACTGGACATCCCAAGAACCTTTATTTCTAATTAAGAAGGGTAGGGGACCTACAGATAATATTTCTAAGTTTCATTGCCTGATGAACATACAAAAACACCTACATAAAGACAGGATACAAATTCATATCGACAAAGAAAACTTAAATACAGAATTGTTTTTGACATTCATTAAAAAAAAATAGTATCTTTATAGCACCTTGATTGCAACAGTCGGGTGGATTGGTAACAACTGCTATGCTTGTTTTTAAAAAGTCAAAGCAGAATGCACATCTACTATTAATAAAGCCACTCAGAGCTGTATCAAGGTGCAGGCATGATTTTTCACTAATTGTGAGAAACATGCTGAAAAATCTCCTAGGGAAAGTATCTTAAAACTCTAGGTATGTGTTATATTTATTATTATAATTATATTCATTTTTCCATTTTTGCATTTCACTTTTTGATTTTCAATTTTAACAATTTTGAATAGCTTAAGAACAGCCCTCTTTTAGTTGTTGGAATTTCTGTTGAAAAGAAAGAGCTCTGACAAATAGTTAAACTCCATTTACAATGGTTCCTACACAAATTCTTTTAAAAAGACAAACAAAGATGTGTAAGTAAAGGATTACTTTTCCTTATGTAAATGATAAAATCAGAGCTTCTAGAAAAAATGATGTAGCTTTACTTACTGGTCATTCCCATTTTCTGCTGTGCCTAGGAGAGGAGAGAATTATTAGAGTTATAAGAATCTTGGCTACAAAACAAAACAAACCAACAAACAAACAAACAAACAAAAAAACAAAACAAAACTGAGACTCCTGACATGTTCAGTGCAGAGATATTTCTAACGGCAATTTTTGACTTCTTTAATCTCTCCACTCCCTGCCTCATTGTTCATTTTCTCAGACATGGTTATCACTCCTTCCTCTGGTATGGCTAATTCATTCACGGGATAGTCCCAAATAGGTCAACTCCACTGAACTTACTTCTGCACTAAGTTTCTTATCACTAGGTGTAACTATTTGTTTTCACGTAGTCCTCAAACACCAGAAAAGGTCTCTATTTATTTCAGTACCTCTGAAAAATATTCTCCTCAAAGTATTGAATTGCCTTTTTATAACAGAGAATTGAATTTCTGATATTTCTTTATTCATGACTCTTTCTGGAGACACAAATCTCTGTACTATGGTGAACTATAATATCACTTCTAATTGCATCTGAGTTGCACTAACTCAGTCTCTCTAAAGTGCTCTGCAAAATATCACTGAGGCTACTAATGGCATCTCATCTTCTGTATGCTTTTCCAAGCTGCTTCTGGGACCTGGTAGAAAATAACCTGGGCCTAGAGTGAAAATGCTGGTGTTTCATTCTGCACAAGAGCATGGCCTTAGGAAGCAATGGTGGTAAAACCTCATATTCACTGCAGCCTATCTTATATAATAAAAGCCTAATATGCTAAGTGTCTGGTTGTTCAATCGGCTGTTGAACCAATTAAAGGATAATATGCTAATGATATGCTAAGGCTGCTCAACCACTCGCTATGATGTGCACTGACCACCAGGGGGAAGACAGTCAACTGGTCAACCAGTCACTATGACATGCACTGACCATCAGGGGGCAAATGCTTTCACTAGTAGGTTAGCTTGCTGCTGGGGTCCCACTGATTGGAACTGAGTGATCAGGACTGAGCGAGACAGGCCAGACACGCCCTGGAGCCCTCCCACATCCTCTCTGGGCCTGATCATGCACTGGTGGGATCCCTCAGCCTGACCTGTGCCCTCTCACAACCTGGGATCTCTCAGGGGATTGTCAGAGAGCCAATTTGGGCTCCATCCCGCAGACCAGGCCAAGGAACCCCACTGGTTCACAAATTCGTGCACCAGGCCTCAAGTTGTATTATGAAGACCTTGATTTCAACTAATATTCTGGCTAGTTTAGCTTCACCTGGTAAGAGTCACATACCACCATGACTCTTAATTCCAATGATTAAATTCATGATACCATATGCTATTCACCAAGTTGACCTGACCTTGTCTTTCCTACCATCAGTAGGGTTTTAATAGCATTTTACAATTCCTGCTGTAAGTGCTCTATATGATATCACCTGTGATGTTCACAACCCTGTTCCAACATGCAGTGATACTATTTGTATGCCTAATTTAATAATTTTCCTTGGAATATGGTAATATTGGGTTTATTACCATAAAGGCACATACCAACAAACTACTTTTGGAATATATGCTTTTCTATTTGGGTTAAAGCTCAGACTACTGTCAACATTATCCAGAGAAACTCAATTTCATATTGAAATCTCTGATTGATGTTGTCTTCCAGTGAGCAGAGTGGGTTTACCAATTTTATGAATTTAATGAAGTCTCACCCACATTTTGAAGGGTGATCACTGTGGGATTTTAATGGTGCTCATTTAATGACAGCAATGCTATAAGTTCTGTTTGGCAAGCAAAATTAATAAAAACCAAATAGATTTGGCTAATTGCACAACTGCCAAACTTTGTTATAATGTACTGTATGTCTTCAGAATGATTCTCCATAATTATAGTAAATTTATTTTATTTTACTTTTCATAGTGGTTGGAATTTTATACATTTTCCCCCTCAATGATTCAATTCATCCAGAGTCCTCTTTAATAGCAGGACTTTGCAGAAAACTTATTTGCAAATCTTCCTATGCAAAGCAGTTTCTTAGTAGAGGGTGTTTTACAGATAGATTTAGCACACTATTTTTTTTTTTTATTTTTTCTATGTGCTCAACACCCACAAGCTTCAACTTGGATAGTTGATTTACCATAAAAAATAGTATTGGTTGATTAGAAACTTTGAGAAATTAAACTGATTTATAAAAATGCTATTTTTCTTCTGGAAACTGAGGAAGAAAATATATTTTAGACATTATTAAGAGTTCTTATTCACTAACTCACAAAGGGAAGGTCATTGATTTGTTTATTCTCATTCTCCACCAAGGGCTAATATGAACACTACTGGTTTTTTTTTTGTGTGTGTGTTTTTTTTGTTTTTTGTTTGTTTGTTTGTTTGTTTTTTGTCTCATAACTTCCCCTTGCACTGTTATACTCTTGCGCCAAGCTGCCCATGCAGTGCATAGACACTAGTTTTAGGAACAGCCTTTATTAGTATCCAGAGGACACAATGTCTATGGGGTAAACAGTGTAGCTTATATATATATTATAAAAATGGATGCTTACTTTTTAAAAGTATTTGAAACTTAAGAGTTCTGCTAGTGAAATATTTAGAATTAAAATGAGGAAAGGCAACGTTCTATTTTATGGAAATTTAACTCAACAAGCTTATAGTAGATTATATTATGCACAATGCAATGTGAGTAATACATGATGTGTGACTAGAGAGGTTGCCTTTTATTATGGATTGAATGTGTGTGCTCCCTTAAAATTCAAATGTTAAATCTTAATGCCTAATATAATGTCATCAGGATGTTGGGCCTTTGGAAGTTAATTAGGTCAGAGGGTTGAGTCTTCAATGGGATTAGCACCCTTCTGAAAAAAAGACTGCAAAGTACTTCTTTGCTTTCCACTATGTGAAGACATAGTGAGCAGGGGCCATATATTAGCCAGGAAGAGTACCCTCACCAGACACCAATCTGGCACCTTCTCAGAACTGTGAGAAATGAATGTTTATTTTTTAAGCCACACAGTCTCAGTATTTTTATTATAGAATCTAGAACAAACTAAGGGGGGACAGGTACAGGCAAAGTAACTATGCTATTACATGATGAATTTCATAAAATTCTATAGAATTCTACTTAAAGAGATGCTGTGTTATGCAAAGAAAGATACATTAAATTGGTGTTTGAGGTAGGTGCTAATGGACAAATGGGAGGCTGAAATTTTATGGAAGTTACAAAGTGGACAGAAAATTCTAGGATGGTGGTCAGCAAACTGTGGCTCGAGAGCCACATGCAGCTCTTTGGCCCCTTGAGTGTGGCTCTTCCACAAAATCTTATATAATAAAAGCTAATATGCAAATTACTCCCTTGGGTGGGAGTTTGACTGACCAGGAGCTCGACTGTTCCCTATGAAGTGCGCCTATTATCAGGGGGTGGCTTGGAACAAAGGGAGGCCCATGAAGTGCTGACTCATTGATCAGCTGCTTCTACATGCCCTCTATTGGAGATCAAGCCTGCAAACTTGGTATGTGCTCATACCTGGAATAAAACTGTATTGGTGACCTCCTAGTTCATAGCTCAACACTCAAACACTGAGCTACATTAGCTGGGCTATATCATCTTAATAATAAGAATAACAGCTATACGGTAGGTATGTGGGAACTCTTTGTAACTATCTTTGCAATGTTTCTGTGAAGGTAAATCTATTTTAAAATTAAACATTTATTTAAAAAAAACATAAAAAATAGAATGCCATTACAGGATTCATAAGTATTTCAGAAGCAGGGAGAAGATGAAACATCAAAAGGAAGAAAATGAAGAGTGGGGATGTTTAAAAGAGAGCAGTGACTGAAGAAAAGGGAAAAGACTTCCAAATGCCACTGGAGAGGTTAAGAAGGGTAATAATTTCAAACTAGAATTCTAATAAAAATTGCAATAATGTTCAGTCCCGAGGAACCTATTCAATCAATGAGCAGAACACACAGTCACCAAGGAAGACATTTTCATCAGAAGGAAGCTGCGCTTCCTAGAAGGGAAGTGAGTCGCAGGAAGCTCTTCTTCAGATTATGGGCAGCTAAACTACGTTCTCAGTGAGAGCTTTATGCTCTGTTACCCAGAAAAGGAACAAACCTTCACAATAGGTAAGGCATACCATTTCATGCCTTCTGGACTCCCGTATTCCCCCAACCGCCCACAAAACGGGCTGTTTCATTAAAAGGTATTTGTTAGTAGTTGATACCTGCCACTAGTAGTTAATACCGATTCCTTACATTCACCAGCATTCCATGGATTTCTCCATTCATTTCCCTCTATTTTTTGAGATCAAGCAATATGGCATTTTATTTCTTTTTACAATTCCTGCCTCCCCTGAAGAGTATACATTTAAGTTTAGATCTAACATGAGCATTCTTTTATCAGAAAACAAAAGGTAGCAAAACACTGTTACTCACCTGGGTCTGTCTTCCTGCACAGTCGATACAAACCCACCAGAGCAAATACTGAAAGTGTTATTACAATTAGAGCAATAACCACTGGCAGAATAATACCTAAGAAGCAATGGGGACATTATCAGTTAGAAGGACAATTGAGTTTCACAATAGTTTATGAACGGAGGCAAAAACATGCATGCTTTCTTCTTTAAACATCCTTCTATTTAAAATATTGTATTTTAAGCAAAGAAGATCTATCTGATTCATGGGTTTTTGCTTTAGTTGTCGTTTCTGACGTATCCACTTGATGTCAGTCTTGTAGCCTTTCTGAAATAAAATTTCAAACCTAAGAGAGAGTTCTCCATTCTTCTGGAGACTGGGACAGTGAGGAGATGGGAGACAAGAGGGAGAAGATGCCCTCTAGACCTATAGTCAGACCCACGTTCACTCATATAGTCTTTACTTCTTTACAGCCAAATTATTGGAAAAAAGAACTTATATAGCCAATACTGGAACTACCAATAGCTGGCTGTTTAAAAAACTCACAAACATCTTTGCATAGTAATATCTTAGAACCAGAAAAGTATAAAATAATGTAAGTAGATATAATTGAGTATTACAGTGCACATTATTTCTAAATATGAACAAATGGTTCAAGAACAATGTCCATGTGAGTGCACCTGTACATACATGTCTGGGCGATTATGTTTTTTCCTATTTTTATTAATAGGAGGGTTTTGCTGTTTATTTATTAATCAATTTATTTTAGTATCTGCCTTCTTTTCTGCCAGTCATTTTCCAGATTGAAATAACAGTGATAAATCGAAAACATTGTCCTGGGGTAAAGCTAGAGCTATAGAAATTATAGTTACCATTTAGTGAGGAATTCTCATCTGCTTGCTTATGTGTCCCTCATGTTTATCAGGGAATGGAATAGTTAACCAATTCATTTGTAGGTTGGGTTTCACTTGCATTGTTATGATTAAATATTCATTTTAAATAAGTTGTAGGTTCATATTAGACCTTCAGTGAGATCATTAGTGCTTCCCAAATGAAGAAACCATAAATCATTGGGTTAATAAATGTAATTCTGATCTATTAAGTAGAATGGTTTTACCTAAACAGCTTCATATGTATTATCATCCCAGCTTCATATATATTAATATGAGTCTTAATTTCCAGGTAAATTAAGTCTATTTAGGCCTAGCATAATCATATACAGGCTGGAGCAAAAATAGGTTTACGTTTGTTGTTCATATGGTAAATAAAACAATAATTAATTAATAAATAACAATACAAGAATGAACTCTGTGTTTCATTCAAAACTATAAACCTATTTTTGCCCTACCTGTATCTTATATAACATATATCTATGTTTGTACAAAGTAACATTTCTTAAAAGGCCATTTTAACATGAAGACAAGGCTTTGTGAAGATAAACAATTCATAGTTATGGAGATCTCTGTCTGTATATTTTGGTTTATCTGAGACTAGTCCCATCAATTCACCTTGACGTTCGGTGGTACTAAGAAAATAATCTCAAAAGTGTGCTCATTACAACACATAAGTAGGAAATTCTCAAAGCAAGTGGCAAATAGACAGGATTTTAATGGGATTGCAGGTTCAGTAAAGCTGATAAAAGTCTATCTGTAATTCAATCCCTTCCCTTATTGGTAACATTAAAATATTCTGCATATCTATGTCTATGAATGAAGATATGTCTGTTACTCACTGGAATGAGAGGAGCTGCTTGAAGAGGGGCTTGCATTATTTTTTTCACTTTCAGTGCCTATTATTTTAAGAAAGAAAAAATAGGTTACCTTTGGTTCATGTGCCAATCCTCATAATCCTCCCTCCATCCCCCATGGCCTCAATTTAAGTAAGTCTCTAGGATCTATAGGTAGGATGCTTCAAATGAATACATTTGATCTCATTCTGAAAGAATTCTGTTTTGCAAACCAAGATTGGCAGGGTGTTAATATATACAATTTTATAAGTTTGGACATTCATCCATGAAACCATCTCCACAATCAAAGCAATAGACATACCCATCACCTGCAACAGTTTCCTCATCTCTCCCCTTTTGTAGATGTGTGTTTTTGAATAGCAATTATAATTTAATAAAGCTGTTATTATTACTTTTTAAAGATTGATAGGGTTTTCTAGACGATAAGGAGTTGAGCAAAGTGAGTTTCTAGTCATGCACACAGAAGTCATACCTTGAGATTGTGTGATGTTTTCTGCAGGTGCTGTTGATATTGAGAGCAATATACTGGTTTTAGAAGGTGAGGCATCTGGTTGTGAAGTGCTAACTGTAAAAAAAAAAAAAATCAGATACCCAGAGTCAAACGATAGTGTTAACTCTTCTTATTGCATTTCTTTGCAGATTCAAAGAGTTTGCATTTCTGAAAATCTATGAAAACAGTTTCTTGCTGAATAATAGGATACATAAAATAGTACATTGAATCCTAAATTCATCTTTTCCTCCTGTTACAACAATTACATCAAAACCTGGATATCAGTATTACATCTTCAATAAAGGTCAAACAAAACTTGAGAACCTTTCTTATCTATACCACCTACAGCATGAGCTTCTTCTGTGATGAAAATCTATACAAAAGCATTATTCACATTTCAGATAGTATAACTTTGGGTGATAGTGATTTTTTTCCATCACACATACTTATGATGAACATAAATACCCAGAACTTCATTTCTATAGTGGTACTTATTGGTTGAAGAGAAAGACTGCAGTTGAGGCTATGGTTAAAAGTTGGGGGGGAAAAAATTCTTTGTTTTCATCTTTAAAGCTCAGTAGTGGTTTACATTTATGTGGCTTATCCAGAGTATCTGCTGCTTGGATATATTTTTACCACAACTCAAAATCTTTTCTCTCAAAGAAATGTAAATTAAATTTATTACAATTATATTTGTTTGCTTAAGTCAACATTTGCCATCTTCAGGACTAAAACAAAAAATAAATTAAAAAATATAATTCAAAACCCACAAATATCAATGAATTTCAAAGAAATACAAGCAATCAAATATTTTATAAGTGTATAGAACTTATTCTTATAAATTTTGGATAAAATTAAATTTAAAAATTTTTGAAAAATCATCCACTTTTTCTTGTACTATAAAGTGATGTCTTTTCATCACACCTGTTTTCCTTGTCTCTTTACTGAATTGCAAGTTTCTGGAATGAGAAGACCACAACTCCTACCATATCCCACATGGAGCTCAAAATACAGTGAGTGTGCAGTACAATGTAGCTGGCAGCTTGGCTGAACTAAAAGACATCTCCTAATCATTGCCCCTCAGGAGTATTGAGGCCATGTATAGTTTCCCCAAAGAAAATGATATTGCATAGGACTGCCTTGGATCTTTCCTTCTGTGCCACCCACAGCCTGGCATGCACTGTATGCTCAGGCATTTTTGACATTTGTGGGGGAAGAATAATTTTTAAAGTTTGTACCATTCTTGCCGTGTACGAGATCTGTGGGAGGAAGCTAGATATATGCCCATAAGAACAAAGGAAAATGTTGGTCTAGTGCACTAGTCAGGCAGTAAAAAAAAGAATATTAAATAAAAGAAGAGAACTAGCTGAATACTTCATTGTTTTCGTTTATAATTTCAGTGTCCAGGATTTTATTTAAAATGAATGTTTTTTCTATTGTGTTGGTAGAGTATAAGATGGCTGATGAAAGAACCAATGGCATTAATCCATCTGGGATTTCCCAAGGGTTAATTTTTAAGACTTGTACTTTATTACCTTCCCAAAGACAGGTTAAGTGGCAGCTACAGTTCTAACTATAATCTGTCTAATTCTGAGGGAGCTCCAATTTTCCTATTTAAAATGTGTTGATGATCCAGTGCCAATTGTTATTGAAAATGATCTATAGGTAGGCAATAGAATTAACTCTTCTTAAAAGGAGAATTCATTGGATCCTTAAACAAAGACATATATATATATATATATATATATATATATATATATATATATATATATTTGTTTTTCCTTTAACCTCAACCTTCACTTAATAAACAATTTCTGAATCCAGTACACGCACACACACACACACACCTACAATTTATCTCTATTACTTGTAGTGTCTTCTGTTTCTTTCTATTCTCTTTTATTTCATTTTTAAAAAATGCTGCTCATGATACACTAATGGGAGTTTACTCACAATTTGACAAATCCTGTCCATTAGCATGATCATATTAATGCAATTATGTATCTTGGCTGAATTCATCAATTGTGAGCCTAATGTAATTCATTCATGACTAAGATAGTAGGAACCACAGTGTGTTCAGAGCTGATAATCTCTGTGGATTTTGCTAATACTTTATTATCCTACATTACTACTATACTAGTATTGGTAGAGAAAGTACAAGAGAGGTATAATAGGTGATCAAGAGCAGGATTTTGAAGACTGAGTACCTAGTTTCTAATTTGAATGTTGCACTTATTTGCTGTGGAATCTTGGGCAAGTCACTTAACTTTTTTGTGTCTGAATTTTCATATCTACAAATGGTGATTATAATAATTGTACATCACAGTGTTATACAAATTAAATGAGTAAAAATGATTTAAATTTCTTAGAAGAGTACTTGAACCTTTTATATTATATACTAAAGGTCCAGTGCATGAAATTCATACACGGGGGTGGGGGGTTCCCTCAGCTCGGCCTGCACCCTCTCAAAATCTGGGACCCCTTGGGGATGTCCAACCTAAATTTGGGGACATCCATCTTGCAATCTGGACTGCTGGCTCTTAACCGCTCACCTGCCTGCCTGCCTAAATACTACCCACTCTGCCTGCCTGTCTTCCTGCCTGCCTGCCTGATCACCCCAACCACCTCTGCCTTGGCCTCTGTCCACTGTGGCAGCAACCTCTGCCTCAGCTCCAGCTTGTTGCAGCTTCATCTGGAAGGTCATCTGGAAGGATGTCCAGAATGACATTCAGAAAGTAGTTTGTCTGTCTGGTCTAATTAACATAATACACTGTTATTATTATAGATAAAATTATTATAAATTACATAAATATTTTAAATTATATTTTATCAATTTATCTTTTATAATATCCTATTATGCTATGATTAGGCCATTGGAGAGTTGTATCTTTCAACCAAAGCCAATTTACCTAATTTTCTCCAAAATTTTAAGTGTAAAAATACAACAAATCTCTGTTTTCAGATGTTACTTTACTCTAGTCAGGGATGGGATAAACTGGAGTGGATGGCACTCTCAGATGATATGGGTTTGCTCTTAAGCCCTGACTTTTGGTGATTGTATTAATTATTGAATTGCAGATATGTTGTGTCATGATTTAAATTCAATTTGCAAGCTTTGGGCCAGAACTTGGAGCTGGCTATTTAAAGTAGGGACCTTCAGAACAGTCTGTTTTATAAAGAGACCCTCAGAACCAAAACTGTTATAATAATACTAGAGGTTTGGTGCACGAAATTCATGCACTGGGGGAAGGGCTGTTCTCAGAGTGTATATATATATATATATGCTGTGCATTTGGATTGAGTTGAGTTATCTTACTTGTTAGTGGTATCATTCTCAGTGATCAATTACATTTTTTTCTCAGCATTCTGAAAGGTTTAGAATGTTCTCACCCTTTTCTAAACATAGATACAGCATCTTAACTCAGATTCACACTTTGGATAGAACGGCCTGAAAACACTGAGAAGCTTTTGAATATGTAACTGTGCCATATGCTTTCTGAGAACGTGAAAGCAAGTGATCCAAAATATGGACTTAAAAAAGATTTTGTTTTCAAGCCCTGGATATTATGTGCCAAACATTATTCTAAGTGTTTTACAAATATTAACTCATTCAACTAATGTATTGTTAATATTTGCATTGTAGTGAAACCTAGAGAGATTTATTCCCCCAAGGTCACACAGCGAGTAAGACGCAGAGCTAGCATTTGATTGCAGGCTCTAGCGCCTGTGTAGTCAACCACAGCCCAATGCTGCCTAAGCCACTGCATTTTAGTAGGAATGAGTTATAAGTACATGCCACTTATTTTTGTTACATGAAATATAATATATTTCAATTTAGGCTCCTGTCAAGAATGTATTCTTTCCTTCAAGACAAATTGAATACATATTTCCTTCAACAGGCCAAACCAGACCATGCAGGTGCATACAAGGAGACATATTCTTAATGTATTGAAATAAAACTCACTGTAGAGCTTATTGGAGGAGTGCACACCCATAAATGATACCCACAGTTGAAAATATTGGTTCTTAAAGTGAATGCTGAGCAGCTAATCAGTTGAGACTGCGTTTTTATGGCCTTTCAGTGTGGAATGGAGAGACACAAGAACAATGTAGACGATGTCTTAGAGACTCAGCAGATCTCTGAACCAGAGGAGAAACCACTTAGCTATACCCAGATTTATACAATTTCCTAAATGAGAGCTTATGGCAGATGCTCCCTACCACATAAATATTGATATAGTTCCCATTCCTTAAGTGAGTTCTTTTATTTTCAACTAATCTTTCAAGCATCATAAAATTTCCAAGTTAAAAAACAATAGCACACCTCTAGATATTGCTTTGGTTTTAGGTATATTTTTAGCTTGAGTAGATCCTAACTGAATAATAGTGTCAAGAATCTGACATTCAACATTAGAATACTCAGGTAAACAATCATCTGCATAGAATGATTCATGCTTCATATTATATGAATTCCTGGAAATTAGCAACCAATCCACTGGCATTGCATAGGGTGCTGAGAACAGTGAATATGACAGGACAAAGTGTTCTCCTTTTCAAACGCCAGTAGTCAGGTTTGGTGATACTTATATCTGTTCTGGCTTCTGATTTTCCATAAAAAAAATGATATCTACAATGCAGTAGGGCTTCTAAAATACAATGAAGGAGAGTGAAGAAAATACGTACAATGAAACCCTTCACAGGTTGTGCTTGTCACTATGGGAATATTGCTGGAAGGATTAGTTTTTTGTGTTAATTTGGCCTTGGCCTTGGGATGACCAGATATTTGGTCAAGCATTATTCTCTGTGTGCCTGTGGTTGTGTTTTTTGGATGAGATTAACATTTGAATCAGTCATTGAGTAAAGTTGATTGCCCTCCAATGTAGGCTCTCATCTAATTGGTTGAATCCAATTCAAGAATAAGAAGGTTGACCCTCTCTTCAGTAAGAAGAAACTCTTCCTTCCTGGCTTCCCTGAGCTGGGACATCAGTCTTTCTCTGGCATTGGACTCAAACTGAAATTCTAGCTCTTCTTTATTTTCAAACCTGCTGGCTTTCCAACTGGTAACTTTGGATTTCCTGGTTCTCAGGCCTTTGCATGTAGACTGGAATGACACTGTCAACTTTCCTGGGTTGTCAGGTCTCCAGCTTGCTAACTACAGATCTCAGGATTTCTCAGCCTCTAAAATTAAATCTCTATCTATCTATCTATCTATCTATCTATCTATCTATCTATCTATCCATCTATCTATCTGTTACACCCAGACTTCGTGATCCCCAAGGACCACCAGGGAGCTGAGTCCGATGCAATAAACAAAAGAGCCTTTTCCATGCTAGCATGGGCTCTGTCCCACTCACGCCGGCAGCATGGCAGAAGAGAGAGCGAATTTCGCCCAGTTCAGGGGTTTTACTCAGGTTGGTGGTGATGTCACTGCCTCGGCTAACCCTGATTGGTTGGGTGAGGGCTAAGGTCCAGCCATAGAATGGAGGATAACTCCACCCTGACCTACAGTGGAGTCAGGAGCCCATCCTCACCCCACCCTGCCCTCTCACTATCTATCTATCTATCTACCTACCTACCTATCTATCATCTACCTATCATCTATCTATCTATCTATCTACCTATCTATCATCTGTTTATCATCTATCATCTATCCATCCATCCTATTTACTATGTTTCTCTGGAGAACCCCAAGTAATATAGTTGTATTTTCCACAAAATTAAGGGCAAATGGTTTATTTCTTTTCTAATACTCTGAAACATGTATGTCCATTTTTCTTCAGAGCTGAGGTCTTTTATCAAAAAAATAAAGAGGTTTATTTACAAGGACAAGTCTGTAGAAAAATGATAACACTAAAGAAAAGTGAATTCCATCATTGCTTAAACTTGTAATAGCCACATGAAGTCTCTAAGTAATAAACAGCCTTTCATCACTTTATAGTGAGTCTTTCCGTCTCCTTATGAACTCTGAACTCACAGAGTACTGGAGGCAGAAGCGGTTAGGGGCAATCAGGCAGGCAGGTGAGCAGTTGGGTCCCAGCAGTTCTGGATTGTGAGAAGGATGTCTGACTGCCTGTTTTGGCCCACCAGTATTGGGCCTAAACAGGCAATTGGACATCCCTCGAGGGGTCCCTGATTGGAGAGGGTGCAGGCTGGTCTGAGGGACACACCCCCTTCCATGCACAAATTCTATGTACTGGGCCTCTAGTGTAGAAAATAAATAATTAAAAATTAAAAGCATAATCATTTCAGTTTTGAATTCTTTGAACACTAAAAGTAGAAGGTATATTATTTAGGACATTTGCTGTGAAAATGTTATTAGATTCACTTAAAGTTTTCATGTCTTTATTTTTCTGATTTTTAAAAAAAGTTATATAATCTTCTATAGCAACTACCCCACTTTACAGCTGTAGTGTGAATGCGGCCACACACCATGCCTGTAGTAAAGACTGTCTGCATTCCAATGAAACAGTACTTAGAAAAACAGGTGAGGACTGGATTTGGCCTGCAATTTTCTGAATCCTGCTTTAGAAAGTCTAGAACAATCTCACATCTTGAATATATTTATTTCATATATTTCTCATTTTATAAATACCAGAGGTGACCAAGATTGAGAACCTAAGAAACTTGTCATTTAGTAAAGTACCAGATATGATATGGGAAGATAAAAATCCCCCAAATAATTTTTGATTTTAAAACAACAGGAAGATTTAACATTACCATCTTCCCCTACCCAATTATCTTTTTCAGTTCCTGCTGTCCCATCATCTGAAATTCATTCCGTTTAAAACTAAGGATGGCAAAACATGAGCACTTCTTGGCATGACAACATTTTAGGCTGTAACTGTGGTTTATAACATCATCTCTTTGAATGCCAGGACCAGGCTTCGTTTTTGGAAATACAGAGAAGACAACTCATCGACACATTATAGTTCTGGGAGAGGGCATGCCAACCATAGAGACAGACCAGGAGAAGCAGGTTCTGGTTAGAGGACAACTCCACATGCTTCATCCATATACCAGGGCTGATTCCACTCACTAAAGCCACAGAATATTCAGGCACATTCCCCTAAATGTGTACCCCTAAACTGCATTTATTTTTAAACCCAGGCTCTAATAAACATTTGAGTTGCTATATAATGTGTTCCCTGTACTATTTCACTCTGTCCTCAAACTGATTGATCTATTTTGTCTTGTTTTGGGGATTTTACATACAAACATCCTCAGAGTATAAAAGCATCACTTACCTGGTCTTTCTGTTGTATTGGCTAAACTCTGATTTTCAGCTTTTAAGGAAAGAAAAGAAAAGAAAATCATTAAAATTTAATGATGAGTATCGGATCTACTCATAATTATTTCAAGTGGTAAATAACTATAGAACTTAGCTCATCTGTGATTCTCTTTCCTTTAAATAATATGATTATGGGGCTTCATGATTAAAATATATTTTAGAGCAAGGGTCAGTCAGCTTTGACTTTAAGGGCCAAAGAGTAAATATTTTAGGCTTTGTGGCCCATAAGTCTTGGTAGCAACTACCCCACTTTACAGCTGTAGTGTGAATGCGGCCACACACCATGCCTGTAGTAAAGGCTGTCTGCATTCCAATGAAACAGTACTTAGAAAAACAGGTGGGGACTGGATTTGGCCTGCAATTTTCTGAATCCTGCTTTAGAGAGTCTAGAACAATCTCACATATTGAATACATTAAGATAGCATAGACAACTAGAGGTCCCTCAGCAGGTGCTTTCTCTGTGGGGCTGCCATGTGCCGTATGCCGAGTAGGTTATGATTGTTGACTTGAGAAAGATTCAGGAAATTTCAGGAAGATACCTTTTTTTTATATTAAATATATTTTATTGATTTTGTACAGAGAGGAAGGGAGAGAGACAGAGAGTCAGAAACGTCGATGAGAGAGAGTCATCGATCAGCTGCCTCCTGCACACCCCCCACTGGGGATGTGCCTGCAACCAGGGTACATGCCCCTGACCGGAATCGAACCCGGGACCCTTCAGTCCCCAAGCCGACGCTCTATCCATTGAGCCAAACCGGTCCCGGCTCAGGAAGATACCTTTAAAATTTAGGGAATTCTTTTAAAAGTAAACATAGTGCAGAGAACCTCTCTACCAGTCAAATTACTGAAACAATGATAAAGTTCACTTCAGCAACTTTGAGTATATTCACCATAAACAATTCTTGCCACATGGAAAATATAGAAAATATTTTTTGAAACAAACAGAAGCCCAATAATAAATGTGTAAAGTATCCATTTGCTTCCTTTGTACCTTTACTTGACTGATATTCTTAAATTACCCCCCCCCTCCTTCTTGGTTCAATGCATAGTATAATAGCCCCCCTCTTTCTCCCAGCCTTCCTCCCCTCCCCCTTCACTTAAGACAAAAAGTAATGGCTTTTCTTGATTTTCTTCTTTTCCTCACCTCCATCAGCTCTAGCTTCAAGTTATATTTCAACTATCTCTCATCACTTAATTGGCTACTATTCATCTGAACCCACATTGCTCCCTTTGGCACCTGCAATAATGGCCACCTAGAAAACTATTTTAAACTTAAACTTGGCTGCTTCAAAGCTCCCCAGTCTTGCTACAGCTGGCAAGTCTTTACAGGAGGTGGCCCCTGCCCTGATCCTCAATTCATCTCTAACCAGTCAGCCCTTGTTTAGCTCAAAGTCACAGGGCTCTTGTTGCCTCGGGCTTGTCGGCTTGCTCTCCTCTGTACCTCAGGTTGTTCTCTCAGGCTAACACCGGCTGCCTTCTACCTTTCGTGACTCTGCTCAGATATCACCACTCGAAGAGGTCTCCTCCCACCACCTTTTCTAAAGTTGTCTTCATTTCCCTCCGTACTAGTCCACCACTCTGCTTCATTTGCTCAACAGTACTTTCATTGCTACGGTAACATTTACTTTATTTTTAAAAAAAAAATTGTTGTTGGAATTTGAACTCCACGAGGAAAAATATTTCTATTTTTAATGAAAGTAAACTTGATATGTAATATTATAATTTTCAGTGTGCAACAGTGATTTAGCATTTATATACATTACTATCTGATCACCATGATATGTCTAGTAACTATCTGTCACCATATAGTCATTACAATATTATTTATAATATTCCTTATGATGTGCATTGTATCCCATGATTTATTTGTTTTATAACTGAGAGTTTATAGCCCTTCACCTGTTTCACCCACTTCCCCACTTATCATCCTCCAGGAATCATCACTTTGTTTTCTATTTCTATGAGTCTGTTTCTGTTTTGTTTTGGGTGGTGTTTATTTTGTTTGTTTGTTTGTTTGTTTTTTGTTTTTTGTTTTTAGATTCTCCATATAAGTTAAATCATAGTGTATGTGTCTTTCTCTGTTTGACTTATTTTACTTAGCATAATACCCTCCAGATCCATCCAAGATTACATTTTTCAATCAAGTCACAATTCCAGTGTCTACCATACAGGACATAGCAAAATAGATCTCCAGTAAAAAAAAGACACACACTGCCAAAGCCGGTTTGGCTCAGTGGAAGAGTGTCAGCCTGGGGACTGAAGGGTCCCGGGTTCGATTCTGGTCAAGGGCATGTACATTGCTTGCGGGCACATCCCCAGTGGGGGGTGTGCAGGAGACAGCTGGTCGATGGTTTCTCTCTCATCGACGTTTCTAACTCTCTATCCCTCTCAATTCCTCTATGTGTAAAATCAATAAAATATATTTTTTTTAAAAAAACACACATATGAAATGAACAAATGAGAGTACAAAATACTACTACTACTATTATTATTATTATTATTATTATTGTTGACAATTAAAGCTAATTATACTTACCTAAATTTAGTTTTAAAAGAAAATTAATGCTTTATTTAAGATGGCTAGTTGGATAATCATAGCTGCCATTTTTAAAGCAATTCTTATGATCAGTACCATATATTATTTGTTGATGTCTACAAGAGAGATAGTCATTTTGTAACCTGTAAATATTTTCTGAGAGAACTAAAACTACTTTCTCAAGGGGGTACAATGATTAAAATTCAGACCTATTCGTTCTAGTGTCATCTTCTTTTACTAAAACAGACAGTTTTTCTTCTGCTAAACTGTTTTGAAAGAAAAGCTTATGTAATTAAGTCCTACATTTGAAAACTAGTTAAAATACTTTTGAACATGGCAAAATGCTGTATGTGGAAGATGCAGTTAAAATATTTATCAACTGCTAGAAGGCTAGAATACAAAGACGATAAAAAACCCTTTGTTTCTCTGTCTATTAATACCAGGTCAAAACCTTTCTGTCTGATAGACTTCATTGAGAATGAAAAATGTTTAAATTTGTATGAGACAAAACCTTCTGACTAACCTCAGTTATGTATTTTTTTCCAGCCTTCAAAATGTATAATACTTTTAAGACTTATTAAAACTTATATAAAAGAAAAGTAACTATGTTTTAAGGTGTAGCAGAATTTAAAAAATACATCTACCAATTCAATCTTAGGATATATATTGAGTCCTAAAATAATCAGACTTTTATATATGAATGAATATATTGTTATTCTGAGGAGAAAATTCTGCAGAACTTAGATATTTAATCAATATTAAAATAGTACTATTTTTCTGAAAGCAATTAGAATTATTCTGAAAATAACACAGCGTTTTCATAGGCATACCACTTTCAAATTTGAAGTCAGTTATATGGATATAAAAGCATAATAGAGAAAAGATGGTGGCTGGCAGGACAGAGGTGAGGGAGAGGAAGTGAATGAGTGAGGTGATGAAAGGAGTGTGTGTGGATATGGAGTGTGTGTGTGTGTGTGTGTGTGAATGAGGGACAGTTAAATTAGTCAGGAGCAGCTGGTCGATGTTTCTCTCTCATTGACGTTTCTAGCTCTCTATCTCTCTTCCTTTCTCTCTGTTAAAAATCTATAAAATATATTTAAAAAAAAAAGAAAGAAAAAAATGAAGGCTTAAACAGTAGACAAAAGGCTGAGGACTGCATCAGCAAATTAGAAACAAAGTAGGAAAAAACACACAAACACAGCAGCAACTTGAAAGAAAATTTAAAAAGCAAGAGGAGAACCTAAAGGGAGCTTTGCACAACACAAAATGAAACAACATTCACATAATTGGAGTACCAAAAGGAGAGAAAAAGAAAGAAAAAATAGAAAATTTGTTTGAAGAAATAATGGCAGAAAACTTCCCTGATATTGCAAAGAAAAAAACTATGCAATTACAAGAAGCACATAGAGTCCCAAACAAGATAAACTCCAAAGACCGACACCAAGACAAATTATAAATAAAATGGCAAACACCAACGACAAAGTAAGAATTTTGAAGCCTGCCAGAGAGAGACAGAAAATTACCTACAAGGGATCTATTATTAGAATATCAACTGATTTCTCAACAGAAATACACCAGGACAGAAGGGAATGGAATTAAATATACTCAGCAATGCAAAGCATTGGACTAAATCCAATAATACTATATCCAGCAAAGCTATCATTTCAAATAGAAGGAATCAGGAGCTTTAAAAATAAAAAAAGGGCTAAGGGAGTTTATTACCACCAAGCCAGCAATTCAAGAAATGCTAAAGGGACTGCTCTAAAAAGAAGAAACAGAAAGGCAAGAAGAAACACAAACATTAAGAATAAAAATGATAACAAACAAGTACTTATCAATAATAACATTAAATGTAAATGGACTAAATGCTTCTATCAAAAGACATAGGGTAGCTGAATGGATAAGAAAACATGATCTATATATTTGCTATCTGCAAGAGACCCACCTTAGAACAAAGGATTCACACAGACTGAGAGTGAAGGTATGGAAAAACGTGTTTCAGGCAAATGGAAATGAGAAAAAGCTGGGGTTGTGATACTCATACATGACAAAACAGACCTCATAATTAAGGCCATAATAAGAGGTAAGAAAGGCCACTTACATAACACTAAAGTGAGCAATTCAATAAGAAGATATAACTCTGCTAAACATATATGCACCCAATATAGGAGCACCCAAATACATAAAACAACTTCTTAAGATGCTAAGGGAGAGGTTGATAGCGATACAACCAGAGTAGGGGACTTTAAAACCCAAGTGACACCGCTGGATACATCCTCTAAACAAAAAATTAGCAAAGAAATAGCAATCATAAATGACTCATTAAATCAGATGGACTTAATTGACATATTCAGGACATTACACCCAAAAGCTACAGAATATACATTCTTCTCTAGTGCACATGGGACATTTTCAAAGATAGACCACATATTAGGACACAGGCAAAATCTCTTCAAATT